GGCTCAGTGGGTTAAGCCGCTGCCTTCGGCTCAGGTCATGATCTCGGAGTCCTGGGATCGAGCCCCGCATCGGGCTCTCTGCTCAGCAGGGAGCCTGCTTCCTCCTCTCTCTCTGCCTGCCTCTCTGCCTGCTTGTAATCTCTCTCTCTGTCAAATAAATAAATAAAATCTTTAAAAAAAAAAAAAAAAGAATTATCCTAGGATCCAACAATTCCACTTCTAACTATACACCCCAAAGCATTGAAAGCAGGGACTTGACGAGATCTGTATACACCCATTTTTTTTTTTAAAGACTTGTTTATTTTTTGGGAGAGAGAAAAAGAGCGGTGCTTGCAAGCAGGGGGAGGGCCAGAGGGAGAGAGAGAGAATCCTCAAGCAGACTCTCTACTGAGTAGGGAGCACAGCTCAGGCCTGGATGCCAGAACCCAGGATCGTGACTTGAGCCTAAGTCAAGAGTTGGATGCTGAACAGACTTGAGCCACCTGGGAACCCCAGTATACAGCCATGTTCACGGCCACATTACTCACACTAACCAAAAGGCGGAAGCAACCCAGGTGTCCATTGACAGGTGAATGGATAAACCAAGATCCACACAATGGAATACTATCCAGCCCCTAAAAGGAGGGAAATTCTGATACACACCACAATGTGGATGAACCCTGAAGACATTATGTTAAATGAAATAAGCCAATGACAGAAGGGCAAATACCATATAATTCTACTTATATGAAGCTCCTGGAAGAGGCAAGTTCACGGAGATAGAACATGGACAGGGGTGGGGGAGTACGGAGCTGGTGTTTACTGGGGACAGGGTTTTGGTTTTGCAAGATGAAAAGAATTTGGGCAGGAATGGAGAGGGATGATTGCACAACCAGGTGAGTGTACTTAATGACACTTAAGTGTGCACTTAAAAATGGCTGGGGTGGTAAATTTTATATGTACTTTACCGCAATTAAAAATAAATTAAAAATTAAAAAACCCCGAAAAAAACCAGTAAGTGTATTTTTACAAACTGCCTAGTGGTGCTAAACAAATTCATTCTCTCTGCTCCTTTCCCCACCCCTGTTCCTAACACTGCGGTTTGGGAGGAAAATGCCATCTCACTGCAGGCTTATAAAGCCTGTCCGCTGTGCCCCACACAGGAAATCACCCAGGTCCAGAGCACGCAGTACACGGTCCGTGGTGCGGGTCCCTCTATATCCTCATTCCTGGGCTTGGAGGTGGCAGGGATGAGCTCAGAACGTGAGCGGAGCCGTCCTGAGCAAGTCACTTAACTTCTCCCGAGTCTCAAAAGCCAGGCTATGCATCACAATACTCAACTATCTCTTATGATGGACAGTAAAGTAGAAATGTATACAAGCACAGTCGTCACGGGGACAAACTAACCTAGAATAACTACCAGGGAAGTGACCAGAAACCTTCACTCTTTTCCCTGTAAATGTCAGCAACCCTGTTGCTCTTGCCCTTTCTTGGAACGCTTCTCAGTTTGTGATCTTGTACTGCACTTCTGGAGGCAGGGTACCTTACTTCTCCCATTAGATGGGAGCTCTGGGAGGGCAGAGTCCCCGTCTAATTTACCTCTGTGGCCCCAGGGTCCAGCACGGAGCAATCATTCATCAAATGTCATTCCAACAAACAAGGTTGAATGTCTGTATGCCGTGTGCAGTGGTGAAGACTGGCATCTCTGAGTTCAAATCCTGCCTGTACCTCTTACTTTCAGTAATCCTCTGGTAAATTACTTAACTGTCCTATTCCTCTGTTTCTGTAAAATGGGTATACTGATAGTAAGAGGACTAAATGAGATAGTCAACTTAGAACAGCTTTTTTTTTTTTTTAAGTATGGCTGGAGAGCCATTAGTAATTCATATTGATTTAATCAATTGTAACAAGAATTTAAAATAGAATAGGCAAGTAAAAGGATGCCTGGGTGTCTCAGTCGGTTAAACGTCTGCTTTCAGCTCAGGTCATGATCCCAGGGTCCTGGGATGGAGCCCCAGGTCTGGCTACCTGCTCAGCGGGGAGCCTGCTTCTCCCTCTGCCTGCTGCTCCCCCCTGCTTGTGTGCTCATGCACACACACTCTCTCTCTAACAAACAAATAAGTAAAACCTTAAAAAAAAAAAAAGAAGAGGCAAGTGTGATTGTGCATCATATTTAATAAGGGTGAGTTAAGATCAATTGTTTCTTAAAACTTTTGTTTCATCAATATTGGAAAGTGATATAACGGGTAATTTTGTCAAATGGAGGCATAACATACATGTACTAACCTTGAGATTATCGCCTGATGATTTTTTAAAAAATATCTTTTCACTTCGTTCTTTGTTTTAATTAGTTATTTGCCAAAACCAAGAGTCTTGCACTTAACGGACTGAGCCACCCAGGCACTTCTTGATGATTTTCAACATAGGTACACACCCATGTAATCACACCCAGATAAGCTCCCTCTGAACCCCCCCTCCCAAATGGGGCTACCATCAATCTGTCTTCTATAAATAGAGATAATTTTGCCTGTTCTTGAATTTCGCATAAATATATAGTAGGCTCCCTTTTGTGCCTGGATCCTGTGCCTTAGTGTAATGTCTGTGAGATTCATGCACACGCTTGTGTGTGTTAGCAGTCCAGTCTTTTTCACTGCTGCGTAGTACTCCACTGTGGGATCACACTATTTTAAAATCCATTCTTCGGTTGCACTTGTTCTAGTTTGGCACAATTCTGAATAAAGGTGCTCAGAACATTCTTACGGCCATCTTTTGGTGGTCCTGCTGAATCAAAAACTCCTGGGGCCAGAGCCATATTTAATCATATTGATTAAATCAATATGAATTACTAATGGCTCTCCAGCCATACTTTTAAAAAAAAAAAAAAGCTGTTCTAAGTTGACTATCTCATTTAGTCCTCTTACTATCAGTATACCCATTTTACAGAAACAGAGGAATAGGACAGTTAAGTAAACACTCCTGGTGGTTTCGGGGCGGAGAGCCTCGGCGCTAGGTCAAGTCGAAAAGGCCGGAAGCCCCTGATTCAGAGCAAACTCAGCACAGGGCCCAGCACCTAGCAAGCACTCGATAAATGTAACTGTGAGAACGTTTCTCATCTGAGAACTGGATGCTCCCCTCCCACGCTGCCCACCCGCACTCACCTCCCGGCCGGCCGCCGAGCCCTCCGTCCGCAGCCCCTCCACCTCCTTCCTGAGGTTGTCCCTCTCCATCCTCAGCTCCTCCACCGTCAGGTTACCCTCATTCACCAGCGTCTCCAGCATCTCCAGGACGCGGACGATCTTGAACTGCAGCTGTGTCACCCGGGGGTCGCTGCCCAGGGCCATCAGCTCTCGGCCCATCACGTAGGAGATGTCATACACGTCCTCGGCGGTCAGCTGGAAGGGGCTCTTGCCCAAAGCCCCCTCGGGCCCAGCCTCGTCCCCTTCCCCCTCCTCTTCTTCCTCCTCCTCTCGCAAAGGGGGCTCCTCCATGGCCACCCAGACCCCCGCGGTCACAGGAGCTGCTTTCTCAGAAACCCCAAACTTCTAACTTCCTCCCCGCGCAGAAAACTTTCCGCCGGGCTGAGACCCTGCCTGCCCCGGGCCGGGGGATGGCCCAGGAGCGGCCAATCAGCGCAGCCGAGGGGTGGGCCCGGGGCAGAAAGGCCGCGCTCCCGGGCTTCCAGGCCCAGCCGCGGGGTGCACCGGCCTCGCTGAGGACATTGCAGGGGGCCGGCCCCCAGGATGTGGTTTGGGGCACGAGAAGACAACAGAAAGGGAGGACAGCCGACAAGAGGAACGGAGAGATTAAGGGGTGACCGCGATTGTCCCCGGGTGGGAGGTGTTGCCAACCGGGTGGGGGAGGGGCGGCCACCTGAGCCCCGCCCTTGGTGACAGCCGCCGCCGCCGCCGGGTTTCCACGGAGACGGGGGCGGAGTTTCCACCGCGAGTCTGGGAAAGAGGGTAAAAAGCACACAACTTTTTCCTTTCTATGCTCAAGCTTTTCAGCCATAGAATTTGCATTCTACGTGGAGGAAGATCCGGGTCTCTGTTTGGGGGGTATTTTCAGAAGGCTGCGGTAAAACAGAGGACAGCTGTTAGTGTCTGCGCGTGGGAGTCAAGAGACCTGGGTTGCGCAGAACTCCCGGGCCCACCGTCGCCGGGATCTGTGGCATTTGACTTTCAATAAAATGGAGAGTCCCTGGGCTGTGCGCTCTGCGGATTCCTGGGCTCCGCCCCGGACTCGGCGTGGCTGCCTTGGCAAAATTAACCCACAATTTCCTGCTCAGTGAATAACAGCTCCTCCGCGGTAACGTTGCTGGAGGACCGTATTAAGATAAGGTCATGAGACCATGCGTGTGACGAAAGTACTAAGGAAACGCTCAGAAAAATGTGAGCGGGTCATTCTGTCCTCCAGCAAACATTCGACTTGTGTGTGGGGCACACGTGGCACGTGGGCTGGGCTGGAAGAAATAGGAAACAAGACAAAAACCACGCTCTGCTTTGAAAATTAGAAAGTATTCTGTGGATAGGGTATTAGTAAGACTATGGGCAGGGTGGATTACAAAACGAGTTATTTTAGGTTTGATTAGAAATTTGTAATAGTCACAGGCAGAAACTTTAGCAATGGAGCTTCTCTTTTTTTCCCAAGAGTATACTGCTGCTTTCTTTGTGGTAAAGGGACTCGAGTTTCTCTACTCTGAGGTTCTAGCAGACCAATGTTGAGTGGCCAAGGAGGAAATGAACAAAAAGCAAAGCAAGCAAACAAAACAGACACTATTTTCAGAGGGTACAATGTTCTAATGATCAAAACCAGGCTTCTGGGCAAGAGGTCAGTAACCCATAAATCACAATTGTAACTACACCCAGTGATTAAGTGAAATAAAATGTTGGGCTTGCCAGAAATATAATATGGTATATCCACACAGTGGAATATTACATTACCATAGAAAGGAATGAAGGAGGGACACCTGGGTGGCTCAGTCAGTTAAGGGTCTGCCTTCAGCTACGGTCCTTGTCCCAGGTTCCTGGGATCAAGACCAGCATCAGGCTCCCTGGCCCACAGAAGACCTGCTGCTCCCTCTCCCTCTCCCCTTGCTTGTGCTCCCTCTCCTGCTGTGTCTCTGTCAAATAAGTAAAATCTTAAAAAAAAAAAAAATGGGGGCACCTGGGTGGCTCAGTGGGTTAAGTCTCTGCCTTCGGCTCGGGTCATGATCTCAGGATTCAGGCTCTCTGCTCAGCGGGGAGCCTGCTTCCCTGCCTCTCTGCCTGCTTGTGATCTCTCTCTCTCTGTGTCTAATAGATAAATAAAATCTTAAAAAAAAATGGAATGAAGGAATAGGATAGAGTGCTCAGAAATAAACCCTTGCAAATATGGTAAAATAATTTTCAACAAGGATGTCAAGACCATTCTTTGTGGAAAGGACAGTCTTTTCAACAAATGTTAGAAAAATTGGATACCCACATGTAAATGTGAGAAGGTGGACCCTTGCCTTACACCATATAGAAAAATTAACTCAAAATAGATCTAAAACAAAAAGCTATAAAACTTTTAGAAAAAAACATAGGAGGAAAGCTTTATGTCACTGGATTTAGCAATGATTTCTTCAAAAGCACAGGCAACAAAGGAAAAAAAATAGATAAACGGGACTACATCAACATTTAAAACTTGTACATCCAAGGGGAGCCTGGGTGGCTCAGTGGGTTAAGCCTCTACCTTCAGCTCAGGTCATGATCTCGGGGTCCTGGGATCAGGCTCTCTGCTTGGTGGGGAGTCTGCTTTCCCCTTTTTCTCTCTCTGCCTGCTGCTCTGCTTACTTGTGATATCTCTATTTCTCTGTGTGTCAAATAAATAAATAAAATTAAAAAAAAAAACAACTTTTAAAAACTTGTGCATCCAAAAACACAATTAGCAGAGTGAAAAGGCACCCTACAGAATGAGTGAATATATTTGCAAGTCATATGCAATAAGGGGTTAATAACCAGAATGAATATACATATAAATATTATGAGAGAATATACATATAAATATTATGTATATTATATATACATATATACACATGTATCTCCTACAATGCAATGATTAAAAAATAAAACTAAATAACCTGATTAAGAAATAGGCAAAGTAAAAATAGATCCAAAATCCTTAGCAAGATACTAGTAAACAGAAATTAGCACTACAGAAAAACTATGTATCATGACCAAGTAAGGTTTATTCCAGGGTTGCAAGGCTGGTTCAGAAAAGACAATCAGTGTAATCTGCCATATTAACAGGTTAAAGATTATACACACACACACACACACACACACACACACACCAAACAGCTCAAGGCTGCAGGATACAAGATCAATATACAAAAACCAGTTGTGGCCTGCCTGAGTGGTTTACTTGGTTAAATGGCTGCCTTTGGCTCAGATTGTGATCTTGGGGTCCTGGGATCTAGCCCTGCATCAGGGTCCCTGATCTGTGGGGAGTCTGCTTCTCCCTCTGCCCTTCCTCTCGTTCATCCTCTTTCTCTCTCTCAAATTAATAAAATCTTTAAAAAGCTACCTGCAGGGACGCCTGGGTGACTCAGTTGGTTAAGCGGCTGCCTTCAGCTCAGGTCATGATCCCAGCGTCCTGGGATCGAGTCCCACATCGGGCTCCTTGCTCGGCGGGGAGCCTGCTTCTCTCTCTGCCTCTGCCTGCCATTCTGTCTGCCTGTGCTCGCTCTCTTTCCCTCTCTCTCTGACAAATAAATAAAATCTTAAAAAAAAAAACTTAAAAAAAAAAAAAAAATAAAATAATAAAAAATAAAAAGCTACTTGCATTCTATACATTCGCAAGAAATAATCTGAAAATGAAATTAAGAAAATAGTTCCACTTAAAAGGACATCGAAAAGTATAAATACTTAGAAATAAATGGAACAAAAGAAGAACAAGACTTGCCCACTGAAAACTACAAAATATCATTGAGAGGAATTAAGATGTAAATAAATGGGAAGACACCACGTTTTCAAAAATTGTAATAGTATGGTTAAGATGGCAATATTCTCCATCTTACATTTCCAGTTGATCTACAGATCAGCACAATCCCTATTAAGATCTGTGTACAAGGGGCGCCTGGGTGGCTCAGAGGGTTAAGCCTCTGCCTTGGGCTCAGGTCATGATCTCAGTGTCCTGGGATCGAGCCCTGCATTAGGCTCTCTGCTCAGTGGGGAGCCTGCTTCCCCCCTCTCTCTGGCTGCATCTCTGCCTACTTGTGATCTCTCTCTCTGTGTTAAATAAATAAAATCTTAAAAAAAAAAAAAGATCTGTGCACAAAACCGTTAATAGAGCAGGCCCAGGAATACTATCATTTCAAAATCCTGCTTCCAAGCTTGGCCCTTGCTAGGATCTGGGAATTTGTGTTTGGGGAGGGTTCCACCACCCCAACTGATAGGAGTAGCTCAATGTGTCTAAATTGTTTATGCAAACAACATAGCTTACCAGCTTTCCTCCTGGGAATATGGAATTTTGCTATGCAGTAGGCAGAAGGTGTCTGCATGACAAGCTCCCTTAAAAACCTTTGGCGCAGTCTCTAATGAGCTTCTCTCATAGATAACATTTCACAGACGTCATAACTCGTTACTGGGAAGTAATCCTAAGTCAAACCGGTCACAAAAGACCTTCTATTGTATGATACTTTCTCTAGGAGATGTCCAGAACAGGCAAATCCACAGAAGAGCACCTACTACATGTGAAGTCTGGAGTGTTGGAGTCAACTGGGCTGTTCAATCAGGCAGTCTTTGAGTTGAACCTCTGAGTTGAACCTCACCATTGCTACTTGTAAGTTTGAGCAAGTTCCCTAATCTCTCCAAATCCCCATTTCCTCAGTGTAAACTAGGAAAAGTAAAAGTATTTCCCAAGAATGGTGTGAAGGTTAGATGAGATAATGCATGAAAATTACCTGTTGTGGATGTTGTCTATTTTTGGCTATTATAATGAAGTGTTAATAATCTTAACTTTTAGATCCCTCATAGAATTCAACAATCTGTTGGTAGCTAATTACGGCCCTTCTCTCTCCATTGAGAAATTATGAAAACAATTATGAGTTACAAATTTAGCTCAGGTTCTTAACCTGCTCTCTGCAGACCGCCAGCATTGGGATCACCTGAGGACTTTTCAGCAATTCGAATTCTTGACCCACTGAATCAGAGACTTTGGGAATGAGCCCTAGTGATCTGCGTTTCCACAGCCCTCCAGGTAATTCTTTTTTTTTTTTTTTTTTAACTATTTATTTATTTATTTGAGAGAGAGAAAGACAGGGAGAGCATGAGCCGGGAGGCACAGAAGGAGAGGGAGCCCTCTCCATCCCAAGACCCTGGGATCACGACCAGAGCTGAAGGCAGACAATTAACCCAATTAACTGACTGAGCCACCCAGGCACCCTGCCCTCCAGGTAATTCTAATGCGTGCTCAAGTTTGAAAAACAGTAAGTGAAAGCACAGTGTTCAAAGGGGTGGGTTGAGACCAGACCACAAGTGTTCAAATTGTGATTGACTCTGCCACTTGTAAGCTGTGTGAAGTTAGGCAGGTAAATTGTGCCTTTACTCTGGCACATTACGCCAGCTGTAATATGGGGTAATGATACAATCTGG